CCGTTTTATAAGAAGTCTGACATTTATAAGTAACTAATATTTTATTTTGTTTGGCAGGTTTAGAAAAAAGTGGGCCACTTTCTTCGACCTCAAACGAAGATTAAATTCAGAAAAATAAATAATTTTGCTGTCAAGTGTCCCTAAGCGCTTTGTATAAATGTAAAATTTAAAGCAGTGTCCCCAAGTGATGATGAGTGTCCTGCATTCATATCCAGGAGCTTAACTATGAGTGCTTTTAAAAGTGAAAATATATGAATATGAAAATATACATGAGTATGTACACTATATTATTATTATTTCCAGTCCTAAACCTGGCTAAGGGCATCCAGCATATAATAAAACATGCAGATCCATCTGATCTGGCCACCCCTTAGGAAATACAAGAGGAGCCAAAATTATATTTTCGTTTGTTTGTTTGTTTGTTTGTTTGTTTTGCCCAGGGAAAATATTGAAGTTCAGAATAGATATTGTAACCCAAATTGAAGACTTGGAAAGGCAATTAACTCTCAATGTCATGTCTCAGTGAATATGTCTGGTCATGGTTGTATGTTGACAAATTTGTGAATATTCACACAAACTAAAAACAATGCCATTTCCTGTTCTTGTGTTTACTTAGTAAGATTTGTTGACCCCGTGGCAAATAAAATTTCAAATTTCAAGGAACACTTTTTTGGTCATTAGGCAAATACGACTCTGATTTTTGTTTTTTAAATATTCTCAGAAATGAGGACTCAGAGATTATCTTAGCCTGGAATTTGAAGGACAGTACAGCCAGTGTGCTACCTTGGTGGTGAGTAAAGAAAAGGGGCATATATTCATGTTAAAAGGGAGTTTTTTCTTCCCACTTTTGCCAAAGCACTTGCTCACAGGGGGTCATCTGATTGTTGGTGGTTTCTCTGTATTATTGTAGGTATTTTACCTTACAATAAATCCTTACAATTTAAAGCTATACAAATAAAACTCAACTGAATTGAATTGAGCTGAACTGAATTAAACACCATTATTTATGTCATTATTTCATATTGTTTCTGCTGTTCTCACATTTGCTAACAGTCTCTATGGACTTGGTGCTCCTCATAGAAGGAAACTGTGAAATATACTTTCAACAGTTATTGAATCTTCTCAATGTGTATTCTGACTCAGATCCTGTGAAGAGTATAATAAAACAGATTACAAAGTGCAAACTCTCAGATCCACATCATATTTTTATTCCACATTTTGACACGTGCAACACCCTTATTGCAGTACCTAAAGGAAATTAAAACATACAGCTACAGCATTGTCTGTAAATGCAAAAACAGCACAACATTATGAAAAATCATGCTTTAACAACAATGAAGGACTGCAATATTAAGCCCTATGAAATACTAGTTGCATTATGTCTGTGTATGTCACTAGACATAGATTGTCACAACTGTGCAGTGAGTAACTGCAGCGTGTTTTTTTTTTTACATTAATAAGTTCACATGTCAAAACTGTGTTTTTTCCTTGAATAAACTCACAAATTATTGTGGTAGGTCACTGATCACCTTTGTCTGCCCTACACAGAAATATTACAATAACTAATCACATTTCTATTTTGCATGCATAGAAAGTATGTATAGATACTATGTAATATATGTATATATATATATAAATATATGTATGTCAGCATAGCATCAGAATCTAAACACTCAAACTAAGTCACCAAAAATCGGTAGTGTCTTTGGAACTAAGTGCACCAAAAATTACTGAGTAAAAGTAAGTGAAACTTTTTGATATGTTTTCTCCAAAAAAGGTGAACACTTAGCTCATTTGTGTATTATTATGTAGTAATCTGATTACTAGAAATTTGACAGATTCTGTATTTTTCAATAATGCATATTGGAAATCAGTGAATAACTAAATCAGACTGTAGATAAAGAGTATAAAGCAAGTTTAACTGCTAAAAGCTGCATGAACACAAAAGCATTTCTATCTTGTTTGAGCAAAATGTTTGTGTCTCCGTCAGCTTTCAGGTACTTTCTATTCATTACAACTCTACTACCATGCTCTGATGTTACATGTTCCTGTGGAGTGATCAGGCTGAAAGTGTGTTGTAGGAGGTTATGCACAGCCATCTGCTAAACACTAAGCTTGTTGATCAGTACAGCTGCAACACCTCTTTCCACTGGTGTCCAGTAGAGGGCCCACTAAACCATTCAAACCCAGATGCAGTGACATACCCTCCAGCCAAGTCTCAAAGTGAACAGTCATGTGGAGCATAATGGAATGCTGAGTAGCACAAGACATAGTAACCAGATTTCTACAGCATTTCTATGGTTACGTTAAAATTTTCAACACATTTGTTTTTCATCTATTAAGCCTCTGGCTAACCTTTCGTGTACCCTAAATTTTCACACTTAGCCACCATTCCTGACCATGCTGACAAGAGAATCTGCATCTCCCTGGGGATCCAGGCCCAGCCTCTGGAGGTCCAGACCCATGGCTACCAGCATCTGGAGCAAGGTAAGCTCCTGCTGGGTGGTCTTATCCACCAAAGCTGGGCAGGTGGGGTTACACTGTGGCCACTGACAGGAATCCACGAGGTGAAAAGGACATCCTTTAGCCGGGGTCCTGTTGTTACGTATTGCTTCCAGACTCCTGTCCCAGCATTGAAGGGCACGTGGCAGAGACGTGCCTCTAACTTGAAAACTTGTCCAGTTACTTTAGGAACAACAAGAAGGAGAAGTTATGAATTAGAAATAAAGAAAGAAAAATGGGAAGGTTGTCAGAGTTAGTAATTAAGGACCAGAAAAGGGCAAATGGCAGGAGACTGTTTTACTTTAAGGTTTGCAACTGCAAATGTTGCAACATACAAAGCTACAAAAGACCTTGAACTTTCAGCTCCTGACTTTGATTGTACCCACTTCAGCATAACTAAGTATACTTATATAAGATTGCAATGACCCATCAATGTCCATGTGAACAACTAAATAATCTCTATGTTAAAGTGGTACTGGGAGGCTAGAGAAAGTGTGAAGTGGCATTTGGTGACAATGTAGTTTGATGAACAAGCAAAACAAAAACAGCAGCATGAGCTCACTGGGTAGAGATGACTGCTGGGGAGAAAAAACAAGGGTGCCAGGTGAACTTGAATATCCATTCTTACCTTTTGGTAATTAGTGTGTGGGAGAGACAGGACGGAGCAAATACAGCCCTAAAAGACACGCAAAGAGAGAGCATTTGTTAAAATCCATCTTGATTTATTTTTCAACTAGCTATAGTAAGATTTGAATCTAGTCACTGCGTGATGACGACTTTTGACAGGAATTCATAGATGGCACAGAGAACTTCAAGGAACTGTTGGATGTTAACATAGAATTTGATTGTCTGCTGTTTTAAATGGCTGCAGTTCACTCAACAGTTACAGGCTTTGACGTGTAAATGTACAAATGGAAAGTGGATAGTAGCTCACCACCACTGCTCTGCAAGCTCTATTACATTTTGTTAAAGTCACCAATTCTATTTTAAAATATTTTTTTTATAATTATAAATTGTAGATTGAATTGATTTCCTGATCTATTAAAATTAATGATTGTATTTGCCACTATCAATGGTCAAGAATATTAAAAGAAAACACTAAAAAGCAGTTCCGCTTTGTCGAAAGGGCTTCATTTCAATTTCAGGTCCATGTGAACAGAGGTGTTACGGCTTGTAATGGCTGGAAATCAGTGAGTGCTAAACATACAGTTTTTATGTTCTGCTAAGGTTAGTAATGTTTGGACGTCAATATATGATAAGTTCTACGGAACTTACGTAACATCTCTCAGGGAGTTTTTGAGCTCCAAGCCCAGGTTCTGTATGTACTGCCACTGCTCCTCAGACATGCTCTGTCCCCCTATATAGATGTTTTCCACCCTCAGCTGTTCCTCATCAAACAGCCACTGTACAATAAACACAGGGGCTATAGGGAAAATAACATTTAGTTGATCAAATCAGTAAATTTAATCAAGTCTATTAGTCACTTCCTGCCAGTTATTAAGCTGTATCCACACACACACACACACACACACACACACACACACACACACACACACTCCCCCGGATGAGTGGATTTGGATTTATATTCACCACCATGTTCGTGATCTTCTTTTTTTTCTGTGTACAATTTCATAAGATCTGCAGGTTTTTGCGCTGGCCTCAGTTGGTGATTAAATTTGTTATTTAGACCAGTCTCTAAAAAGTTTTTATATTCAACAGCCAAAATGAAAAAAATCCACCAGTTAAACATACTGTTACTAGCCACACTGGCCCCCTTTTCAATGATTACAGTGAATACAACTCAGGATGTCATGATCTAAAAGTTTATGCACCAGCGTAGCAGTTAGAGTTTCAAGATTTACATAGAAAATCTCTTTTCTTTAATTTCAGACCCTGATTTTGAGATTTTGACTAAACATGTGCTTTTATATGCTTTGCTGATTTAGCAACTTTAAAATTCCATACATGTGACAATAAAGATCTTAAATGTTTGCATCGAGGGCTGTAATATTCAGAAGGCCTCTAAAAAAAAGATGCAGTCCAGTTCAAGCCAGTCCAGATGAACTTACTTTGGCTTATCATGTCATCAGCGTGGGAATCAGTCTGTTCACTGATTGAGTGAAGGAAATTCACAGTTCTAATATGTCAGTGCTCATTATTTCTGAACTGCTCAAGTCAGTTATATGGTGTGCATTTAAATTTAAAACATCATCATAAACAAAGACACCAGTCAACACTCACACGTCAAAGTAGAGTATAGTCTATGACCGAAGAAGCACTTCCACTCCTCCCCTCTTTTAAAGAGCTGCCGACATCTGTCAGGAACAACCCCATTCCACAGCCTGAGATAATAATGCACGGTTAATCAATAAAATTCACGAATAATATGATTTCCAAATCCTACATCGGGCATAGGAAGAGATCTAAATATTGTCTTCACCTGAGTCCAATCTTGATAGCATCCTCAGGTGAGCAGGAAACTGTCTCAGGACAGTTTGGTGATCTTTGCTGCTTGCTCTCCAGAAACCAGCCTGAGTCCACGAGGCCTCGGACCTGAGCTTCTGCACCAAGCTGCTGGAGCTGACTGGCCACCCTCGCAATGTTGAGCAAAACACCTGTTCCACCAGCGCTGCAGGGGAGCCAAGAAAATTAATAAATAGTTTAGGGTGACATTTTTGTTTAGGACATCAAACTGACAGTGCATGCCAGCTCATAGTGGGGAAGTAAACATTTAGCAGGTTTCACATTCAGTTGATCCTGTTTTAGGGCCCGGGGACGTCTGAAGAACCATGCTGCTAACCTGGGAGGAATGTTCACCATTACAGGGCAAGGCCCTTTAATAAACATTATGTCACTGATCACAGTTGACTGTAAACATCTTCATTGTTGACAAGAGGATGCACCCAAAATAGGACTTTGATGGTAGATATGGAGACGATCCAGGTGGTACAGAGACTCTTGTCCATCAGAGCACAATAAAATAAACTCACCTGCTACCAGACAGCATGACAACCTTGGCCTGCTTGATTCCTTTAGGGATGAGATCTTTGATGACTTCACGGATGATTAGGGATCCCATGAAGTTATATTCAGCTGATAGTAAAGACAAGTATGAAGTGACTTTTATTCTCGAATTAACTGAACATTTAGAGAATACATGTTTTCTTGTATCCAAAGGAGCTACGGTTACCTTATTGTAAAAGATTTGAGGAAACTTACTTGCATTTATATTCCTATCTCTGACTTTGTCCCTGCCTTGTCGTGGCCTGGAAGGGGGTGTCGGTGCAGGCCCAGTGCCGCTCCACACATCACTGGAACAGTAAGGGATGAATCTGCCATAAAGAAGACAATCACATTTGTTAGACTAAAGCTGGAGGCCCTGAAGTTGGTTTCTTCCCTCCCCCATAAAAATCACCTCAGGCTGGAGCTGACAACTTCTGTCATATATCAGAAAGTGGCAAATCTCTATTTTGATCACACAGCCTGCGTGTTGCTGAATTCCAGAAAC